TTTTTAAGTAAATGTATACAGGAGAAAGGGGTTACTAGGCCATTTGCTCCGCATTTTAGTCGCCTCATACGACACGCATGGACTTACGGAGGAAAGATTCTTTTCCCACTTCCCCATGGAACAATAGAAGAAATAAAAAAGAACAATGAGCAATTTAGAATAAGGAAAAAACCTAGAGTATGTATATATATAATCATGTGCGTGCAGTGAATGAGACCAAAGTGAAAAGTAGAGTACAAGATATCCCTGATAACTAGCGTGTTTTATGAGACAGAAAAAGAAAACCATAGCAATCCTACATCATAGCGAAAACAGTTTACAGGTTTATTGTTTTTCACAGGTCTTCTGGCAGACGGTAGTAACTTCCCGGGTGGTTGCTGTCTAAACCAACCTTACTCCCTAACTCCAGCAAAATATTTCATAATATTCCATTTATTTTAGTGCTTGCAAGTACTAAATCAGTCTACCAAGGCTCCAAAGAAAGCTCCTAGTGCCAAGCCTGTGGTAAAGAAGGTGAAAATACGATGAATTTAAAAAAACCATCATTGAAAAATATGAAAGGGGTACAATGTGGCTGAACTGGCCGGGAGTAAAAAGAAACCTAACCCCTTATTTTCCATAGTGGCCAAAAAAAAGGAAATCAAGGATGCGTTGTTGAAAAAGGGGGTTTTAACAATGCTGACAAAAATGGTTCACCAGTACTCGAAGAGGTTGAGAAGTTTTTTTTTGGTGTGGATAAATGAGAAACGATTGCAGGGATACTCTTATGATTCGTTATTTGTAAAAAAAGGCTAGGCATTTGCATGACGTTTGGTAAAGAAATTGCCTGCAACTAGTGGAAGTGGGGAAATTTAAAGCCAGCAAAGGTGGTTTGAGAGTTTTTAAGAACCATATGGTACACGGGGAAAGGAGGGGTGAGGCTGCCAGTTCGACCACAAGGCGGTGAAAAAGTGATGAATTCAAGGGTACATAGGGGTGAAGGACTGAAACCTGAACAAGTGTTCTTGTGACGAAACAGGCCTCTTTTGGAAAAAAATGCCAAAAGAGGCCCTTTCATTAACGGGGGGAAAAAGGGCAATGTCAGGACAAAAGCCTTGAAAGACGGCTGACGCATGTTCTGTGCTAATTGCTAGGGGGGATTTCAAAGTGAAGCCATTACTAGTGTACCTTTCTGAAAATCCCAGAGTGTTCAGGAAAAAAAATGTTTTTGAAGAGTAAATTGTGTGTTTTTTTGGAAATTAATGTAAGGCATGGGTCCGGGGAAATTTTCGTTGAGTGGTTCAATGAAGTGTTTGGCCCTAGTTGAAGGGCTTTCCCCTGAAAAAAAATTTGGATCTCAAGTCCCCTTGAGTAATGGACAATGCACCTGCCCCTCCAAACTTGGATGCCCTAATTTTCGGGGATTTTGGGTTTCTCACAGTAAATTCTTGCCCCTAAAAACCCTCCTCCCTACCCCTTTGGACCACGGTCATTGCAACTTTAAAAAACTCTCAAAAAAGCTATGTTTCACAGGTGCTTGACTGTGACCACAGACACTCACTTACCCTAAGGGGAAAATTTTTGGGGAGAGAAACTTCAGCTCCTCCTTTGCAAAACCCCTTATAGGTATGGCTTGGGGGGGAGTGACTCCCTGGAGAAAATTGGGGCCAGATTGTGTCGACAAGAGGGATTTTAAAGGGTTTGGGACTGACCCTGTACCTGTTCTTGTAAAATCAATTGGGGCACTGGGGGTTCCATGGGGTTTTGGAGTGGTTTGGGGGATGTGGAAAAATTTGGTGGAAACCACAAGAAGATCACCACGAGGGCTGCAAGAGTTCAGCAGGAAGAGCAAAGATCACAGCTCGAATTTTGCTGCAGAGGGGGGGGGGGAGAGTGGAAGAAGGTGCCTTTTCAAAAAATTAAAGGAATTTTTGCAATGGGGGTAAGATGGAAAGATTTATGGGAAACACCACCCTAAAAAGGTTGTTGCAACCGTTGGCAACATGACAGTGACAAAGTCCTTGGGCCTTTTTTAGGGAAGTGTTAAAGAGACGCCAAAAACAGAGCTCTCTGGACAGTTATTTGCAAGACGGGCTCCCGTGACTCTCAAGGTGGGCCTAGTGGGTTAAGAAACAGAGAAGAGAAGCAACCCCCGAAAAAAAATTGGTACCTGAGGTGTTGCGGAAGGGGATTCCCTTCCAAACTATAAAAAAATCCACCTCTCTCCTCCCCCCCGTCCCCCATAACTAAGAAAATCTCCAAAAAAGGTAAGTGTTATGTGTTTAATTTTTTATTTATCATTTTTCCCCTTTATTGTTTATACTACATGTATATTTTTATGTAAAATTTTTTTTTGTTTTTTAATACTTTGGTTTTCAGGAACGGATTAATTGTATTTACATTTTTTCTTATGGGGAAAATTGATTCGCAAATCGTAAATTTTGTTTTATAGCTCCTCCAGGGAAAAGATTAATTTTGAAAAATGAGGGACCACTGTATATATAATTTCTTATTATGATTTCCCATGTGTATTTAATACGAAGATCCCCCCCGACTCATGCCATAAATACTTTAGAAATCTATGGAAATCATAATAAAAGGGGCCTCTGTCCGGGATATTGAACCCTTTTATTAAACGCCTTGAAAAATTCAGACATAAAATAATAATTAAGAGGTTTTAAAATGCCAGAAAAGACCCCAATGTAATAAGTGGGGTTCTTTTTCCCCCCAGGTTTGAAGATCTTCCACTAAACATTGAATACAATTAAGTTAAAATTGTTGGCAAATAACAAAATCCTTGGGTAAAGTATGACAAACACTAAGGCATTACCCAAGGGCAATCATTTGGAATTTTTCTTTTTCCCCGAAGCCCCAGAGGGAAAACTTTGGCGAAGAATTAGAAGTAATAAAGTTTAATCTCACATTTGACCCCAGTTATTAGTAAAGAATTGGGGGCCCTTTGTGTTAAAGACACATCAAAGAGACCTAATCTCCAAAACCCTTTCATTCAGGCTCGCCATTGGGAAAACCCTGGTTCACTGGAAAAACACCAGGAACTGCCCTATTCTCTGGAAAAGGAACCTGATTCCTGTGAGGAATAATCCAGAGTTTCCAATGGAACTCCATTCAAATTTCCCCCAGAATCCACTCTATGAACAAATTTTAGAGTTAAACCTTCTTGAAATTACAAACTACGTACTTTTTGCCCCAAAGTAGTTTAACAAGAAGAGTTCGAAAAAGAAACCATCAATGTATAGACAACTCAACCCCGGAAAAAAAAGTATCATTTGGGACCAAGGTCGAGACATTCAACATCATCAAGCAGCTGAAAGGTTTCCCGATTCTGTGAGGAAAACCTCGATGCATTTTTGAAACCTTTGAAATCAGGCTCAAAATTTTGAAAATGGCCTCAGGAATATCTACTTTGGAGCACTACGAATTTAACGTCGATTTGTTTGGACCGTTTTTAAAGGGGTTAAAATGTTTTTATCAATTGATAATAAAAGGTACCCTTAACCCCCTTTGACTGTTTTGGTCATAATAACGTCTTACGTGCACTGTTTTGGAGTATTTTTACACGTAAATTCTGGCGGCTTCAAATCAAGCAGGAGAAAGCTGGGAGGCCCAATGTGAGGAATGGGTCTGTGTGGCATTTGCACCAATTAAAAAAAATCCCGCGGCACCAGGCATAATAAAAAAAAAAAATGACCTTTTTTTTTATTAAAAGCCGAATTTTGGGGTTTTTTTGTATTGTATTTATCTTGTATTCTCGTTTTTATGGTTCACGTGATAAAATGGAAAAAAATTTACAGAAATAGAGATGATTTTGATTAGTTTCACGATGAAAACGACCTTGAAATTGAGCTCAAAGTAGCGTAAATGTTCGATTTTTACCTATGTTCAGGAGCAAGCAAATCACACCACACATCCAATACACATCAACTGGGGAGTCTAATATTCTTTCACTAGTGCACTGATATTATTTATATCATTTTTACAATAATGCAGTAGTCTGCATAACAGTAAATTTTGTATTTTTGTATGAATAAAATATCAAAATAGAAAGCAATAGTAATATAAGAGGGGCCTAGAGACGTGACTAATGAACAGAGGATATGTTGTTTTAGTGCCAGGAATGTCTACATTGTTTATTCTGGACCCTATTTTGAAACTGGCATCTTTTTTAATTTGCGTTACCACTTTATTGGGTAGTTCAAATCGGTAAATGGGTGGTCTCTTGTACTCAACTGATAGAAAAAATGGAGTTCTAAAGAAATAGCTATGAGTTTGGTCAACTGGAACAATGGAATTGGCAAAAACAGGGCTCAAAGTCAGCGAAATCGCCGATGCATATATGTTGCCAAGACCGCTAACTTCGCAGGAGCGTAATTCCGCGAGTTTTCGACCAAATTTTGTACTTTTGGTGTCATTACCATCGGGAAAAGATTCTCTATCATTTCACAAGAAATTTTTTTTGTTTTTTTCCAAAAATTTTGTGACATAGAATGAGTTTCAGAAAGGGGCTTGCGACAGTCAAAGGATTAAAATACCTTTAGATCATAAAGTAATGTACGTTATATTAAAAGAGATATTTTATGAATTTTTTCTATCTCCTTAATACTAAAACTGATCCGCACAAGAGATTGAATTATATCAGTATAGTATATAATTTCTTATTACGATTTCCCATGTGTATATTTCATACTGAAGATCCCCTAGACTTGTGCCATAAATACTTTAGAAATCCTATAGAACATCATAATAGCTGAGAAGAAAAAGAGGATGATTTCCATGGAATTAAAGCATGAAATCATAGATAAACAAGTGAGGTGTCCAGGTTTTGGGTTGAGGGGGAAGCAGGAGGAGCTGGCTCGTAACTCGGATGTTGGCTTGTAACTCAGAGCAAAAATTGACTGAACGATGGCTCATGTCTCAAAAAACTCATACATTGGGACACTCTTAAGTCAAGTTCCACTGTACTGTGTCGTACCATAACCATAGTGTAGTAAAATACCTTACAGAATCGAATAGATGGGCTGATAGTGAGTAACACAACAGTAACCAGACCACTGTGGCTGGAGAGTGCTGAGAGACAAGAAGTGGGAGGCCTCAGTGGCCAGCCCCTCAAGTCGCTGGCCACACACACAGTCACAGACATGTATCGCCTCACACGAGGTAAATACTGTACAGTATATGTGTGACAGCAGATGTGAAATGCATTCAGGGATAATCTTGTGTAATTACATACAGTGGACCCCCGGTTAACGATATTTTTTCATTCCAGAAGTGTGTTCAGGTGCCAGTACTAACCGAATTTGTTCCCATAAGGAATATTGTGAAGTAGATTAGTTCATTTCAGACCCCCAAACATACACGTACAAACGCACTTACATAAATACACTTACATAATTGGTCGCATTGGGAGGTGATCGTTAAGCGGGGGTCCACTGTATTTGCAACTACTGTACCAGTTTGTAGCTACAGAAATTGAAATGTGTTTGTGGTATCTTGTGTTTTTTATAATTTTTTAAAAAATATTGAAAGTTTTTCCTAAATGTCTAACCAGTCTTTCTCTGTATATTTGTTATCATTTGTATTTTTCATTGACTATTTTATAACACATTATCAACAGATACTCCTGTAAAATTATATGGTATGAGAATTTTGATTGCAGTTGGATTATTACATTTATTAATTCACAGACATTAGTTATATTGTTTTGTGGCAAGATTTATTTTAGTCTGTAACTTTATATTTATCTCTCATTATATTTATCATGAGTTTTTTGTATAATGAGCACACTCATCATTCCAGTGTATGTTAAGCTTGCAAATTACCCACAACAGGATTATACCTATCATTGTGTGGGTGGTGTTGCAAGTGGCCAAGATGCCTATGAAAAAATCTGTGCTGGAGCCAGCCTCGTCCAGGTTTACACCGGTCTTGTCTACCATGGTCCACTTCTAGTACATCGAATCACTAATGAACTTGAAGATCTTTTGAGGTAATATGTATTAATTTTATGTTTTACTCTCCATTACTGAATGTATTTTACTCTACTACATAAAAAATTTACTTGACAATTTTGACATAGTAACTTTTAATCTTCATGTATAGCAGTTAGCAAGACTTTAGTTCTGAATATGAGACGTACAGTGCTTGGGTGAGAAATATGCAGCTTTATAGTTATTTAAGTTATGATCTCATTGCACTTTGAGAAAAGCAGCTAGAGAATAAGTGATGGTGAATACATTTCCTTCTTTGGGTAACCCTACTTTTGTGGAAAACAGTTGATTGCTCACTATGAACTTACAAATTAGTGAATACAACCAATTTAACTAAAGCTTATTTCACTAATTAAAATTTTCACTAAATTTTATTTCCACAAGTGATAGTATTAACCCTTTCAGGGTTGGCGCCGTACTAGTACGGCTTATGCACCAGGGTTGGTGCCCTAAAACTAGTACGCATAAATTCTAGCGTCCTCAAATCAAGCAGGAAAAGGCTGGTAGTCCTGGATGTGAGAGAATGGGTCTCCATGGTCAGTGTGAGCAGTATAAAAAAAATTGGGGACCCAGTGGTGCACTGTGGGAAAGCCATTTTATTACACCTTGTTCACCATGCCTAGCGGTAAGAAACTCCTCACTCCTCAGCTAATTGGGGCTGTTTTATTCCCAAGTGACAGTTCAAACACAGATGGAAGTGTCAGTGAAGATGAATTTCATGGTTTTGAGGAGTCGGTGACCGAAAGCAATGCCCAGGAAACCAACCTGAAGGAAGGAAGGAAGAAAGGAAGGAGACCATCAACCTAGGATAACTCAAAAAAATTCAGACAGTGATTTATTTCCATGTGGGTTGGTTGGGGTGGGGAGAAAGGAATGGGTGTTGACAGGCAGTGAGGGTGGTCGAGTGGTGGTGTTATTTGTCATTGTGACACTAATTAGGCCGGTGGCTCAGCATATTTACAAGTCCACCCCCACACAACAACTACGAGCTTTACAGAAGCTGTAGCAGTTCTGGGAAGTGTCCAGTGACTTTATATGTGTATATATGTGATAGAAAAATAATAATAAACAACATTTTTATTGTTGGTTTGTGTAAACATGTTTTACAATATAATAACTGTTTGTGCAGTTATATGTAGCATACAATGAGTGAATATCCATTCAATATACCTTATATTGCTCTCACAGGCCAGAGAAGTTACTTGAAGGAAAGAAGGAGGAAGGGAAGGAAGGAAAGAAGGAGAGAGAGAGAGGGAAGGAAGGAAGGAGGGAGGGAAGGAAGGGAGGAGGGAGGGAAAGAAGGAGGGAAGGAGGGAAAGTAAGTAGGAAGAGATGAGAGGGAGGAGGAGGGAAGGTAGGTAGGAAGAGATGAGAGGATGAAATGAATGAAGGAAAGGAAGGAAGGTAGGTGTGTGGGAAGGAAGGGATGTGTTGTGGAAGGCAGTGAGGTTAGTGAGTGGTGGTATGATGCATCAGTGTGACACCAGTGACTCAGCATATTTACAAGTCCACCCCCACACTACTACAAGCTTTCAGAACCTCTTGTAGTTATAGGAACCTGTCCAATGAGTATATATGATAGAAAAATAGTAATAAGCAACATTTTTTATTGTTGGTTTGTGTAAACATGTTTTGTAAACAATATAATGACAGCAAAGTTTGTGCTGTTATTGTGTAGTATACAATGAGTGAATATATACCAAATAGTCTTTAGATTGGTCTCAGAGGCCATAAAAGTTACTTGAAAAAATAAAATATTAAAAAATAAAAGAAACAAGAAAAAACAAAATAAATTATTACAGGGTGACCGGCAGTTGGCAATGTTTCCACATGCAGTTCAATTTCTGTCAACTTCATGCCTCCATATCTCGGTAAGTATTGATGGCAAAAAATTTTTTTTAGCCTATAAAATTTAGAAAAAAAAAAAAAAAACTATCTTTTCATAAGAAAAAATAATTTTTTTTTTTTTCGAATATTTACCAACCCTGAGAACAGGTTTGAGAGAGGGCCTGCCGACCCTGAAAGGGTTAACCCTTTCAGGGTCCGTCCCGTAGATCTACGGCTTTACGTTCAGGGTCCAAACCGTAGATCTACGCCATGAGCTCAGCTCACTCTGATAAACTGTGAGTGGTACATTTGGGCCTAGATATGAGAGAATACATCTATGTGGTATGTGTGCACCACATAAAACAGATCCTGCAGCACACTGTGTATAATGAGAGAAAAAAAATGAAATCATGATTTTTCGATTAAAACAGCAACTTTGCAGTGTTTTTCCGTATGTTTTTTTATAGATGTATTTATGATTTCTTGGTCTCATTTGATAGAATAGAAGACATATTACAGAAATAGAGATGATTTTGATTGGTTTTAGCACTGGAAATGGCTTGAAACTGAGCTCAAAGTAGCAGAAATGTTAAATTTTTGCCGATATTCAAGAGTAAACAAACGACCTCACATGTCTAATACACGACAGCTGGTGGGTCTAATATACATTCACAAATTTTGGTGATGATATTTATACAATTATTACAGTATTGCATAACAGTAAATCTTCTATTTTTTGGTGTGAATAAAAATTCATTATGTGAATAAAAAATCAAAATGGAATTTATTTGTAAAGCCTCAAAACATAACTAATGAACAGAGGAAATGTTAGTTTAGTGCCAGGAATGCCTACATTGTTCATTCTGGACCCTATTTTGAAATTGGGAATATTTGAACTTTGTGTTAAATTGGCCAAATTAACAATTTCCGATCACTTTATTTTTAGTTTGAAACAGTTGACTTGACGATTTCTTGTGCTCAATCGATAGAATAAAAGTAATACTAGTGAAATAGCTAAGAATTTGGTTGATTGGAATAATGTAATTGGCCTAAAATGGGAGTCAAAGTCGGCAAAATCGCCGATTCGTAAATATCGCCGACACATCAAAATTTGCGAGAGCATAATTTCGTCAATTTTCCACCAAATTTCGTACTTTTTGTTTTATTACCTTCACAAAAAGATTCTCTACGATTTCATAAGAAAAAATAACAAATTTTTTTTTTGAAAATTCTTGGACACTGGTGCGTGACTCCAGATTTGGGCCTTGGACCCTGAAAGGGTTAACTGTTGAAGTAAAAAAACGAAAACAAAAAAAAAACAAGAAAAACAAAAAAGCATCATTGTTGACTCACCAAAGAAGTGTTAAGAAAAATATCTTAATATTTTCCCCATTTACGGTTCTTTTTTGACACTTGGATATCTAGTAACTTACTCTTTATCTATTATTCATCAACAAATTATCTTCAATCTCCAGTTTTATAATCATACATTTTTTAAACAAACGTATAACTGAAGTACATGTACGTATGTGAATACTTATACCCTGGTATAAAACTATGCATGTATGTACATGTATGTATAAAGTTGTACATGTGTACAGTATATAGTAGTAGTATATAAAGCTGTACATGTATATTCATACATGTAGTATAAAGCTGTACGTGTGTGTGCATACAATATAAGGTTGTGCATACATATAAAGTTGTGTGTACACATACATGTACTGTAGTATAAAGTTGTACATGAGTATACATACATGTACTGTAGTATAAAGTTGTACATGTGTACACACATACACAGGAACTTATTTTGACAAAAGCAAACATTAATAACAAATACTGTATAGTTTACTTATTTTCTTTACAGACTCCATGGATTCAGCACAGTTACTGAAGCAGTTGGAGTTGACTGCAAACAGTAATTTTTTTTTACATTTAGTTTGCATATATTGTATATTATATGATAATAGTGTTATCATATAACTTATTACTTACAGTGATTAGGAATAATAATACCAGCTTTACTACAGTCGGCTGTTTCTAAGCTCTTCTATATAGTGTGATTTTGAATCACCTTTATAAAAAAATGTACAGTACATCCCAAATTAAATAGCACATGAAAAGGCCTTCACAATATGCCCTATTCAATTTTGGATGCACTTTTTCAATTGCATTTACAAAAAAATCACACTACCTAGAGGAGTTTTATAACAGCTACTACACAGATGTATGTTTTCCGTATTTTTGTTATGTTTTAAGGTGAATATTGTACATAAAATTTCCTAAATCATATGACAGTCAATAATCAGTATATTTTACATTTCATGTACAGTATTATTTATGTTGATAAATGTATGCAGAAATTAATATACTGTATTCTTAGAAAATAACTTTTTTTTATTTTTCCATTACACAAAAGAATTTATGCCTTGGGACACATTTATTTAGAAAATAATTATCATGGAAAGTGCTAAATTCTGAAGCTGCATGGAGCACTACAGCAAGCTTGGGTAGCAAAGGGAAATTAAGAGGCAGGGCAAGATAGGATTAGAATGGTAAAATTATAGTGTAATAAAGTTATCTTCAGTAGATGGCATCTTTATTAACCCGTAAACGGTCCAAACGTATACTATATACATTTTTTCAACATTTGAAAGTATGTAAAAAAAGTAGATCTTTTTGTTTTTTACATTTGAAAATGTGTAAAAAAACTTGGATCTACTTTTTTTTTTTTTTTATTTGAAAATATGTAAAAAAATGTAGATCTACTTTTGTAGCACTACACATGTGAACGTAGATCTGCTTGGACCATTTACGGGCTAAATATAACACTTTAAGAGAAGGGTTGACCATTAGTAAGGCATGAAAAAAAGGGGTTGAAAATAAAGATTGAAAGCAAGACAGTCTGTCCAGACTTTTCCCCTTAATGGAGTTCCTTTGATATCAGTGAACCAAGACCTCACCTGTAGTGCCCATGCAGTGGCTGAGAGAATGGGAGGCAATCAAATTTGATCCAATTTAACCCTGCATGAAGAGTCCCTCGCCAGCATCAGAGAACCTCCCATGAAGGGACTAATACAGTATATTTCCACTTCTTTCATGCACCAAACCTAAATGCCTAATATTTCTCCCCATGTGTTGTATGACCCCCCTTCCAGTTTAGCACTCTCCGCATGAATGTAATAATAATAGTAGTAGTATCCAATTTTCCAATAGAGATACACATTATTATTATTATTATTATTAATCAAAAAGAAGCGCTAAGCCACAAGGACTATACAGCGCATAGAGATACACAGTTCCAACCTTTACGATTCATTGCTTCATCTCATGTACGCTTTACATTATTGTTATTACATTTATGGGTTGGTTAAGCAATAAACTCAGAGGTCATACAGGTACTCCTCATTTAACGCCTCCCTTTTTAAAACAAATGCTTGGAAAAACCCAGTCTTGCCCCAGTAGGTATTGAAAGCTGTACGGAACTTGGCCGTGGAAGGCATGCTCCATCTTGCTCACTCTTTCTCATCTCATCTCGCCCTCAGTCAGTAAATTTTCATAACTATTTTTTTTAGTAAGTCACCCTAGTCGTCAAGAAAAGTAGGTCAGTTAGTTAAATCAGAAAACAAGGAAATATAGCAGTCAGTCGTAAGTCAAATAAGTAAATTTTTTAAGTCAAGTCATCCTTAGTTTTTTCAGGTAAACATACGTATACAAAATACATTTAAAATTTAATTATATACATAGCAGCTACATATAAACACTGCATGTTTTGATGGTCTTCAGGAATCAATGTTAGTAACAAACACATATCTGAAAAATTTTGGGAGTATGTATGTCGGTCCAGGATCATAAACTATGAAGAGGTATTACACATTTGAAGAATGTCAATCAAACAAGGGGATATAATGTGGCCAAAAAATGTTTTTACTTCCCACAGTAATTTTCTTAGGCCCCTTATATCAACGAGTACAGTTAGCACTGTTTTTTTTTGGGGGGGGGTTTTTTTTAGGTAATTTACATATGTATGTAACTGTTATTACAAAAAAAGTAATTTTTAAAAGCGTGGAAAAGTTTACCCCTTTTTGTAATAAAGGTTGGGTCATAAATACACACATTAATAAAATTAAATCTTTAATAAAAAAAATCAATATTTGGGTCTAGAGGTATTTAAACTATGATATAAAAATAATATGTAAAAATGTTACATAAAAATTATAATCACTTTTTATAAAAAAAAAATTAAATAACCCTACAAGGGTAAAACTCTTAACTACGTCACTATATATATTATCTCTAGCTAAAACAATAAATTATAAAAAACATTTTTTAATAATAAATTACAATCAACTGCTCTCACGACACGAATCAGCAACGACACTTTTTCAGTGTACACTACAACCGGGCCCTTCGTGCCCCACGACACCCTTTTCATCTCAGGTTCCATACGGCCCAAAGCATATTCATGTTCCACTCCATGTACGTCCTCATGTCACCTACGGTTGGCCCTTTAGTAAAACACTCCAACCTTTTTTCATGTAATGTCCCACTAAACAGCATCTGCGACCCCGGCCCAAGTTGATCAAGAGACGGTGAGTCCACAACATCACCGGTAGTCAGTAAACCTCTCCAAAGGCGGTTGCCACACCGCTAGCCAAAACACCATGCTGAAAACTCCAAAAAATTTTAAAAAAAAAAAAAGCCCCGGGGGTAAAGAACTGAGGCCAACGACTCGTGAGCTGGGGGGCGGTTTTTCTAACCCAAGATAGGTAATTAGGTGGTCAGGACCTACGGCATAGCGTGTACCCTGAGGGTTCGGTATTTAATTTGAACCCCGTGACGTCCCCCCCTTTCGGTTTTTAGGTCCTACGCTGCGGTGCGTACCGGAGGCGCCAGGTAATAGTTTTTAAAGCCAGTAGATAGGTACGATTCGGGGGTAGGTACCACTGCATGAGGTCCCCTGAGGAGTTCGGGTCTTAATTTTGAACCCAGTAGCTGACCCTTCGGTGGTCGGGTCCCCGCTTGGTGGTACGGAGGCCCCTCAGGTACATAATATTTCTAAAGCCAGTAGGGCCCCCTTCGGTGGTCGGGACCTACTGCTTAGGTGTGTACAGGGGCGCCTGGTACTATGTTACTAAAGCCGTAGACGTGTACCCTTCGGGGGGTAGGTCCTATTTAGGTGGAAACAGCGAGGCGCTTGGTACAAAAGTTACAAAAGCCAGTAGCGTGTCCCCCCTTCGGTGTCAGGTACTACGCTTAGGTGTGTACAGCGAGGCCTTGGTAATACTTTTACTAAGCCAGTAGACGGTACCCTGGGGGTCGGCCCTACTGCTTAGGGTGTACGTGAGGATCGGCTTTTATGCTCAAGGCCGCTCAGCAGCCCCCACTTTTGGGTTTGTGACCACCCAGGGGTACTCCCGGCCGCGGTTAATTTAACCCCTAGTTTGGCAGGGGCCCCAACACCCCACCACAAAAAGGACCCCACACACAAAGAATCAATGTAAAATGTATCCCGAACCGTCCCGGTTGATGCCGAAATCCTTCAGATAAACAATTATCCTCCCGAAGGCCATCATAATTACAAAAAATATTTTTTTTAAAAAAGATGTAAGTTTTTTAAAATTTACTCCTTTTGTAAAAAGAGTTCGGGATACTAAATACACACATTAAAATAAATTAATCTTTAAATATAAAAATCAATATTTTTGGGCTGAGGGATTTGAACTATGAAATAATAAAAAATGTTCATGTTTTCTTAATAAATTATAATCAGCTTTTACTAAAAAATTTAAATTTAAAAACCCTAAAGGGTACAATTTGACATACTGTCACCCATATATTATTCTCTTGCTAAAAAAAAAATTATAAAAAACTTTTTTTAAAAAAATAAATTTCAATCAATCCTCCACACACGAAATCCCCGTCACCCCCATGTTTAGTGTAACTACAACCAGGCCATCTTGTGTCCCCACGAACCCTTTTCATCTCAGTGTTCCACTACAGTCCTTGCATATCTCAGGTTTTCCCCTCCTGTACGTCCCTCAGTGTCCCCTACGGCCCGGCCCCCTTCAGTGTAAACTCCAACCCTTTTTTTCATGTAATGTCCACTAAACAGCACTGACGACTCCGGGCCCCATTGTTTAACGTAGCGGGAGTCCACAACAAACACCCGGTAGTCCATAAAATCCTCCCAAAGGCGGTTGAAACCGCTAACCCAAAACCATGCGCAAACTCACGAAAGCCCGGGCCCCAAGTAAATGAGGCCCAAAAGACTCAGTGGGGGTGCGGTGAGCGGTTCTTCTAACGCCAGTAGATGGTACGATTGGTGGTCGGTCCACGGATAGACGTGTACCCGAGGGTTCGGTACTTATGTTGAAGCCCGAGACGTGTACCCCTTCGGTGTTAGGGACCTAGCGGGGGTGCGTCCCGGGGCGCTCAGGTACTCTTTTCTAAAGCCAGTAGTAGGTAGATTCGGGGTCAGGTACCCACTGCATAGACGTGACCCTGAGGAGTTCAGGTACTTAATGTTAAGCCGTAGACGTGTACCTTCGGTGGTCAGGTACCTACTGTTAGGGGTGACGCGAGGCGCTAGGTACATAAAATTTTTAAAGCCAGAACTGTACCCCTTCGGGGGTCAGGTACCACTGCTTGGTTGTACCGCGAGGGGTCTGGGAATATGTTACTAAAGCCAGTAGATGTACCCCTTTGGGGGCAGTCCATGCTTAGGTGTGTACGCGAGGCCTCTGGGACATTAAGTTTTTTTAAAACCAGTAACGTGTCCCTTCGGTGGGAGGTACCATGCTTAGGGTGACAGCGGGCCTCTGGGACTACTGTTCTAAACCATTTGACGTGTACCCTTCGGTGGTCAGGTACCTACTGCTTAGGTGTGTACCGTGAGGCACTCAGGCTCTTACTGCTCTAAGGCCGGCTCAGCAGCCCCCACATTGGGTTTGATGACGCACCCAGTGGTACTGCCGGCCGGCAGGTTAACTATTTAACCGCTAGTTTGGCAGGGGCCGCAACACTGTACTTATGTGTACCTGTGCCCAAATAAACTTAGTTCCTGATTTTGGTTCATGAGCAGCTCTAGGACAAAGGCAGACAGAGAGACTGAGACAGACAGAGCCAGCCAGCTAGCCAGTCAAACATTACACATGTTGCAGAAACGTCACATCTGAGCAAGTGGAAATGTGTATTACTTGCCAGTCATGCTTATGCCTTGTATCTACAAGCACAGTATGTATAGCACTTTGTCTGACTTTTTTGGGTTATCCTAGGTAATTTACACTATGTATGATAATTATACTTATATGTACTTGTGCCTACATAAACTTAGTCCTTGATTCTGTCATTCAAGCAATTAAGTTTGCTTGGTATATACGTATTTCTT